TTAGACCCGTGGTCTCATTTTTTAGTGTCAACAAAGCAATAAAGAAAATGTTTTTTTTTTCTTTTATTCTAGGACTCAAAATAAAATGTAAAATATACCTCTGGCATTAATTTTCCTCAGACGAATGTTGTTACAGTATTCCTATTAGCATGTCCATGTGCTTGACAACATTTCAGATGGTATTTTTAGGCTACCTGTAAAAAAGCATTTTCTGCCAGCCTGGTGCAAATTGCCAGAACCTTTAAGACACTCTTCCTCAACTTAGCAGCAGTATATCATCATTATCTGTGGCGGGACCAAGAAATCGCATCTGTCAATGCCTGAATTGCTCTTTTACTTTCAGTGGTTTTAGAAACCCACTTTGTTTTGGAAATGGGGTTAGCTGAGTATATTTTAGAAGACTCAGAAATATAAAAAGCAACAGCTAGGAGATTTAGGGGATATTTAAGATGTTTCATTTTCTATGGCTCGTTGATCTTTAGAAGATAATCTTTGTGGGACCAGATGGAATATGGTCATGTTTTGAATGGAGGTCTGAGAGAGTTCTGGGGTCATGGGAGTACACCCTGGAATCTTTGTGCTTCCCTTAGATCATTAGGAAAGAACTGACCCACGTTAATAATAATTTCTAAAACATGAATGTTTTTCATATCCCAGGTTTTGTGTATATTCTACCTCTTATTTTTTCTATACAGGTCCTACAGTGGATTGGGAAATGGGAAAACTGAGGCCAGGTCGCTTGCATAAGATCACACAGCTGCTAAATGCTGATGTTAGAACTCAAAGCCAAATTTGTCTCCAAAGCCCATGGTCTTAACTCCTGTGCTATGTTGATTATGGCTTAAGGAAAATATAAGTATGGTGGCTAAGGAATAGGATCTGTGCTTGGGCCAATAGATAATGATAATAAAGGTCTCATAAAAGTCATTTTCTGTGCTATACAAAAGTTCTTTCTATCAGTCCATTTTTCAATTTAAAAAATATTCATTCCTTTGGATGAATTGCAACTTTACTCCTTTGGGACCCCAAAGAGAGACTGATGAATTGGGAGACTGTTGGAGAGTCAACTTGCTTTCTTTGTTTTCCTTACTGTTTTCCTTTTTTTTATCCTAAATGGATTTGCTCAAATGTAGAAAACATGAGGTATTTCTGAATAGAGATCGGAGCTCTGTGTGAACCAGTTGGGCCTTAATAATTTCACCTCAGAGTATTCTGCTCTTCACAATATTATAATTTAACAGTGCAAGTTAGATGTGTCTCTAGGAGTCGAAATACTTGGTAATAGAACCACTGATACAAATGCAAATGAATGTGGGAGGCTGGTGGCATGAAAAAACTCAATTTCTGATTTAAAAAAATACACACACATACACACACACACACACACACACACACACTTTTAAACAGAATAAGATAACCAGTTTGGTTTTTTGGGTTTTGTTTGTTTGTTTGTTTGTTTGTTTTTCCCCAAAATTCAGTCTATGTAGGTGAGTGTCGGATCCATGTAAGTTATTTAGGAAACATCTATTTGAAGATCTCATGGTGCAATTTTTAGATTTCTCAGTATGTTTGAGAAGTGCGGTCATTACATTTTAGTCTCATTAGTCACGTACATATGCCTCTTTCTAGTGACATTATGACATTACTATTCATAAGGCCATTCTCTCTTGAGGATATCATCACTTTCTGTTGAAGAATTGATTTCACTCTTTGTTCAAGTTCTCATACTGGTTGCTATATGAAATGTACAACTGGATGTCATTAAGGATTTAATACGAATATATATGAATTTGACAAGGTTTGCTCAGCTTTCAGGGTAGTCCCTGTGTATGAATTCTTATATTTAGAAGGTTGTTTACTCTTCAGTCAGTCTAACAAAATGGGGCTTGGGGCAAATGAACTCATTCTCATGCACATGTTTCTAAAACAGTTCTTACTAATGTTTGAGATAAATTAAAATAAAAACCAACAAGAACATGAAAAGAGACTAAGAACAATGTTAATGTGGCAATTTAAACCAATGTGGTTTTCCAAATGACCTTCCATCTTTCACAACTTTTAACAGTATGCAAGATCACTATCTTTAGTGCCAGACACTATGAATCTGGTGTGGAAGACTTAAAAATTTTTTTCTAAATGTCTCTAAAGCTGAGATGGAGAAGAATGACTCTCTCTCTCTTTCCCTTTCCAATGGGTCTAAGGTTGAATCATGGTTATGCTGTCCTCCCAACATATCACTTACTGCTTATCCAACATACTTTCCTCTTTTTCTAGCCTGTACCATGCCTCAAAATGATTTTCTGTGGAGCTTTAGGTTTGGAAGAGAGTGTATGGGGAGGGGATGCTTAGGAGGACAGAGAGCCCCTAGGTATCCCAAGGAAGTAAATCATCGCATCTTCTTATTTAGTTAATTTAGTGCATCTAGAACTCCGAGAGTTGGGCATTTTGGATTCTTCTGATTTTGCCTGCATGTTTCTAAGCACACTTAGTTTTATGTCTACTACTGACTTCACTAATCCATTCCACAGTGAGTGAAGTGAAGGTTATCACTATGTTTAATATTGCAGCCAACAACAGTTACAGAAAACCCAAAGTAATAGAATATATTTAAGGTGAATCTGGCACAACCCACTTGCCATTTTTCAGCATAATACTTTGTTGTAACTAAAACTTCAGAGGGGTCAAAGTTTATGAAGATGGATGATATCCCTTGTGTTATCTGTCTTCTTTTGGGTAGGATTAAGAGTACAGGATATAGGTTCTTTTCAGAAAAGTGCATGCTCCTTTTCTATGAAGACATGTGAGAATTTACCCAACTTTATTTTGGATTAATGAAGTTCTGAATCCCCAGATCTACCCAGGAGGATCATTATAATCTCTAATTGGCAACTATATTAACAGATAAAATTAACTTCTTTTACCATGAGATTATTGAAACACCAAGAGATTGCCTTTCTGTTTTTTTCTCCTTACCTATACCTTCTCCTCCCCTTTTTTCCTATGAGAAGTAATACTCCATTTATTGTCATTTATCCTTCCATATGTTAATATATTTTATCCCAGTCACATAAGATCCCATGATTAGGCTGGAAACAGATCCATCGTTGTCTCTTTCATGAGCTTTGTTTTTGTTGTTGCTGTTTTTATTATTAGTTTTTTTTTTTTTAATTTCTTCAGAATAAGAATGAGTCAGATTCTTAAAATCATTTGTTCATAGCAGAAATGAATGGGGAATCTTGGAAACATCTCCCAGCATGGCCACCCCTTTCCCATGTTGCACCTCATGGAAAGCAGGTACCAGTTTAGCCACATGTGGAATCTTCTCTGTCAGGAATAACTCCTGTAGGAAGGTGGCCCTAAGATGGAAATGTCATAGTCACCTTCGACTCATGTGGCTCTTCACATTCTTTCTGGCTTTAAGACTTCTTTGTAAATGATTTCCAAGACACTTGTTTTGAGATTTTGGTTTCTTTTTTTTATTATTTATTTATTTATTTATTTTTTTATCTTTTCAGCGTAACAGTATTCATTGTTTTTGCACCACACCGAGTGCTCCATGCAATACGTGCCCTCCTTAATACCCACCACCTGGCTCCCCCAAACTCCCACCCCCTGCCCCTTCAGAACCCTCAGGTTGTTTTTCAGAGTCCATAGTCTCTCATGGTTCACCTCCCCTTCCAATTTCCCTCAACTCCCTTCTCCTCTCCATCTCCCCATGTCCTCCATGTTATTTGTTATGCTCCACAAATGAGTATTATGCCTCCATCAGAAAGGATGAATACCCTACTTTTGTAGCAACATGGTTTCATTTTTAATGTTGGCAATTTGAAACGGGATTCCCTAAGTTCCAATATATGGCTATGAGTGAAAAGTCATGAATTAGAATTTGCTGGTTTTTGCTTGATCACTGTGAGGTGGTTGATGAGAGAGAACAGTTCCCAAAGCATAGCTTCATTATTTTGTGATTTGAAGCATATTCATTAGGGGTATATCTCCACAATAACACCTCCAAATCTATCCTAATTAGACAAACCATCCAGGGGTGGTAACAACAGTTACAAAAGGAATAAGGGGGCATAGTAGCAGTTAAAAGCATTATGTTTGAGGCTTGAAACTAATTAGGTATTTCATGCTTGGAGGACGTTATCCCAAACAGGCTTTATAAACAGATACTTGTTCAGAAAGGACTTCTCATAAAAAGGTAAGAGAGAGGCTAGATAAACATATAAAGCTTGCATCTCTTGGTAGTAATAAAAAGTAGGGGCTTAAAAGTTTGCTAATATTCTATCCCTATATTTATAGCTGCTTTGATTTACAAATATTTACTTTGGGTTTTCTTTTTTTTTAAGTGTAGAATAAGTCTGGGCAGAGGAATAGAAATGTAAAGAACCATCCATAAAACCCCATCTATTTAACCTAGCTGGTAGGATGCCAGAGTCTCCTTTATGGAGTAAGAAGTCTCCCTTGGCCATTCAAGGCTTAAGTTGTCTTTTTCCCTCCACCAGAAGGTAGAGCAGTTATAAACACTTGAGGGAAGAATAAGGAAGTAGATAACCCCATGCTTCTGATATGGTACATTACCATGAGAGAAGATCATGCGGGACTAAGACACGGAGGGTAGGGGGGCTATCCTAGATGAAGCTGGTTTGGCAGATAAATTACTCACAGACCAAGAAAATCCTTCGCATCCGTTGACCCAATTAAGGCGTAGTTGGGGTCAGATGGAGAAGAGTGAAGGTAAACCCGTTTCTCTAAATGGCCAAAGCTCTTACTGATTCCCATCCCATGCCACATTTCCAAAACGTGGTGGAACACAGCATAGCTAGGACTCGCCTGACCTCAAACCTGTCAACCAAGGGCAGAGTGACTTCAACTCCACCTCTACTAAAGATAAATTGATATCTATCTCTAAAAACTTCATAAACCAAAAACCTAGGATGTTTTTTAATGACATATTGACTTTTCAGATTGTTTTTTAAGCTGTTTTTTAAACTTTAAAGGCAACACTGATAATGAACGCTTCCAAATGGTAAAACAGAAAATCCCCTTCAAATATAACCGGCCCGTAGAGGAGTGGCTGCAGGAAAAAGGTAACCGTCGTTAAAACTTTCATTTTAAAATCATTTGATTCTAAACCCTCATTTTTAAAGCCTGCAAATAAATGTTCCTTAAATGATAATCGCCTGCTGCATAAATGACTGTTTTAATTTTCATTATAATTTGTGTCAGCTTCCACCCGCCATATGTTGATAAATCATGCTATAATACATTGCCATTAAAATACAGTTAAAGGGACTAACATCTAGCTTGCTATCAGCATGACAACCACAAACAAGAAATTCCAGGAACCTCTAAAAAAGAAATGTATTATGGCAATTTAACCACTGCATGACATTATTTGTTAATTTGTTTTAAATTACCTCTTATACCAAAGCTTTCTAAAGAAATTTCAAAAGTACTCTTTAAACTTACATCTTGAAGCTGTTTTGGCTTTACCTCTCTAGCGTGAATAACAAAAAGAATCATCAGATCAACTCTTGTAACTTAATCTGCTTAAGACAAATGTTATACGGGGAGCAGTGTTTTCTAACATTTGCTTTTAAATGAAGAAAGAATGAGAAAGATGAATTTTGCCTTTAGATTCAAACTTCAGAGGCAAAAGTGTTTCATAAGAGGTTAATTGTGTCCTAGTTGCTGGCTGAAACTAAAAAAAAAAAAAAAAAAAAGCAAAGCTTATTTTACACTTTGGTTGTGTAATACCCTTATGTGTTTGATATTTATGCAACAAAAGTGCAAGTGGCTAAGACAATGAGTTGGAAAAGAAAGGCTCATGAAAGGCAAAACAGCAGTTCTGATTTGCTGAAGAAAACAACCACTTTGTTAATAAAAGAGGGCAGCGGTTATACCCGATGTTAGAATTTTCTGTGTGGCTTCAGTTCCCTAGGGTGTAAACTATTATCTTTCAATGGAGAAAATTCTCTGTTTCTGGAAGCTCTTTATTCCCTTCTTTCCTGAGCCAGTACAAGCTACTCTTGTCTCAAGACATCCAGCGAGTTCCTAAAATTCATAGAGATTTGACTGAGTTATACATAAAAAGTAATTGAATATATTAATATGCAACTTAAGCAAACTTAATTACAGTTTTAAGTTGGGTGACAACATTTAGACCCTTAAACACGGAAAATCCTCACTGAGTCTTAACTGTTTGCCCTGTTTTTAACGTATGTGGTCTAATTAAAAATAAATTAAGAATAACTCTAAAAAGCAAATAATTTTGTTCAGTAATCACCAGCTCATAAAGTCCCTTTAACACTAAAGACTATGATTGCCTCACTTTTTAAAAAGGAGAAGAAAACTAGATGCATGTCTGACTCTCATGTGTCTGAGAGAACTTTTTTTTCTTTCAATTTTATGTTAATAATATTTTCTTTTACTCCATCGCCTTTTTGAAGTCTAAGTTTAAGAGCATGCCAGGCGTTTTCATTTGTATCAACCATTATAAAGTTATGGGTAGGCTTTTAGTTTTCCTTCTGATAGCACTGTTATCAGTTGGCTTTCATATAGAAGGACTCTTTCAAGTAGACAACAAATCGAGGGGGAGGGGTGGGTCGGGGGGTATGGAGGGCGGCTTGCTAGTTTTTTAACGAGATATGTATGTATTTATGTATGCGTATAATATTGAAAATGGTTATTTCCAAACTTGGATGTTCTCTCTTCTACACTATTGTAACTGAAGTTACTTAAAAAAAAAAAAAAAAAAAAAAAAAAAACTTTGGTAAGTAACATCTATTCATTCTATTGCTTTACCCCTTCTTCTGTCTAGCAAACCTTCCCCTCAAAAGGAGTAGAAAATAGATACCAAAAGACCTTGTAAAGACAACAAGTTAAAAAAGGGTAAAGATGGAAGGATGAATAAGCAGACATACCAGGAAGCACTTGGAATGCCTCCTTGGAGTTATTTTTGTCATTGGAGAAGAGATCTGGGTCACAGCATTCCTGAGTCTGTTTTCTGGCTCTGTCTACTATTGACTGATACTTTCTGACCTTAGACAATCCACTTAACCTCTTTATATCTCAGATTTCCCATTGGAGGAGAGGAGAAATAATACTGCCTATTCCCCAAGGGTGTTCTGAGGTTTAATTAATTAGTCTTTGTGCAACACTGACTGGAGACGTGCAAAGATTTAATTTAAGCAGTATGTGAACTTGATATCCAAATGAAGTAACAGTAATGACTTCCAAGAAGGTGGGCACCCAAAACAAAACAGAAAGTAGACTGCTACAGACCCTCTACTGATATAACCAAATTGAGCATTATGGATGATAGAACGATTCTTAGATTGGGATATTGATATAGATATCATAGTTGCTTATTATAAAAAAAGATAGATCATAATGAATAACAATAATGAGATCTGACATTGATTTTGAGAAATCTTGGGCAAATGATAAAACTTACTCCAGTCTGTCCCTTATAATAACCCTTCAGAGGGAAAGGGTAGTGATGACCAGTTCTCAGTTATTCACTTACTCCTGCTTCTCTGATAGAGCTGAATTGATCAGAGGAAGAGCTGGCAGAGACTGAGAAAGTTTCTCAGTTTCCCAATAGAAACTGAGGAAAAAAAAAAAAAAAAACCTAGAAATAGAGTTTCCCACTATTACTTTAGTGGCTGCCAGCTTTACTCTTAAACTACCTAATCCAAGGTACAGAAGGCTAGGAAAGATTCCTGAAATAGAAGAAAAATAGATCTAGCCACAAATAGACCTTGAAACAGAGAAGCAAACAAATATCCAGACACTTCCTATAGCATCATGGAAAATTGAAGCATAGACAACTTCCTTCCCTGTTCCACCCCACCAGTGTCTTGTTCTCAAGAAATCATTAGATCTCTCTGGGACTGTAGCAATAACCAGACGCGGAGCAGTGGCTTTGTCCTGCAGCCCAGGAAACATGTCTTGCCCTTCTCCATGCTTGGGTTAGTCTTGAACAAGCAAAGACCATTTTATGCAATGTACTGTGGCACCTGGAATGAAGGAGATCCATCATTTCTAGCCAGTATAATTCAACTTAGCATTTCAATTCTCCCTGACCCTCTTTTTTATTTGTAATAACTGGCAGAATAATATCACTAGGAAAATAAGGTGAAGACCATTACAGATGTGAAATACTTTCAGAAATATGAGAAATATAAAATACCTTACCTATAACTAGCTATCCCTATCACTGATCATTAGTGCTAGAGCATATACCAAAAAAGGAGATGAATAAATATTATGGTTGGCCAACAGTTATGTGAATGGAAGGGATAGCTTGACATTGGGGCTATGAGGTATAAGCTGCTGGACTGAGTCCTAGAGATATCCTTCTATGCAGCTCTTTCTTTATTAAGTGGCCCGCAGAAGTCTGTGCAAGGTTGAGGGTATATTATTCTCTCCTTCTATCATGACATTTCTTTTGCAGTAAACTTATTCCCTCTAGAAAAAAACTGTTGTCAAAGAAATAGCAGTAAAGAGCGTTGAGCTCCAGGCCATTATCCAGTGTTATTGTGCACTGAACATTTTGCTGCATCTCCTGTGAGAAATGAGAGGCCAACGGACTGGCGATGATGCATGTGTACAGGGCAGTGAAGGAACTGGTGGGAAAATAATGGAAATCTATTAGATCTATTTTGATTGTTCCCTTAGGAACTGGACAATTCTGTTATCAAATCCAACAGATTCCATTTCCATGCTCCAAATATTTTTATAGAGTGCAAATCATTTTCATTATAACAAAACTCTTTGGCCAGTTCTCTGTACTACAGTGTTTGAAGCTTCCAAAAAGGTATTATTCATAAATCATTCTTGACTAATATGCCCTTAAGACTTACCCCATAAGCAGAACTGACTCTTGTATAAAGAGTTCCTTCTGAGCAGATACATTTCCCCTTCTCTGACTCTTCCATTTCACCTATTAATGTACATTCAGAAGGCATTCCACATTATACACTGGAAACTCAAGGATAGCTAATCATTGTAGAGACTTAAAGACCTGTAATGGTGGTAGAGGTTAAGAGCCCAAACATCACTGTATGCCTCTATTCATATTGGAGGTTGTGGGGGCAAAAAACCTTAGCCTTTTAAAAATAGACTCCCTTTTAATAAGCAGGCAGGAATAACAAAACATTCCAGCCATTTATTGCTAAAATAATTCAAGTGATTAAATTAAAAATAAGTGGAATATTGTTTGATTACTGATTTAAGTGAAGAAAAATTCAAAAAGGATATATTTAATTCCATTAATAAGTTTCTCCCCCATCTCCATATGGAAAACCAGAAGGAAATAATCTGAAGAAATAATAGCATAGAATGTCTTAGCCTTAGAAAGCTGTTTGGGTTTTTCTGGGAAAGATCTAGCACTTAAGAGAAGCTTTTTTAAGTAGGAGTAGTTGGGAGGAAGATAAATTGAGTTGCACTATTCTAAACTCTGTTCTGCCATGATTTCATTCTGATAGTTTTCTATTCACAGACGCACAAATGGTTCCCCAAATGCGGACTCCAAATAAGTTAACTACTGATAGTTTTCAACACATTAACATGCCTATTGTTTTAAGGAATTTTATGTGTTGCTTTTTCATGAAAACCTATCTCCTTTTTTAAAATTCACTGATTTGGAATGACATTTTTTTTTTCTTTCCACCACCCCAGAAAAATTATTAGTGCTTGTTTATTTCCCATGTTTTAGGGAGAGATATAGTTGTATGGCCATTATCCCATCCCTCCCCCACACTAAAAGAGGTAGGAAATTATCTGTCACAATGTTTATTAAACAACAAGTATAGATAGAATTTATGTATTACGAAGATTTCTAGGAAATGAGGTATTTGGTGGGTAAACTTCATTTCTACACAGATGTGATGAATCCAAGTCTTTTAATTGGAATTTCATTTAATTTCAGTTAATTATCAGACCTATTTTTAAAATTTAATATTCTGAGTTACCTTACCGAGTAATTGTTTGCCATATAAAATTCTATTTAATTGCCATTATGTGCCTTTGTAGGTTGAAAATCAGTGCAGTAGGTATTTAGGCTTTATTGCTGTCATTACCTGATTTGGGGGTTCCTTCTGTCATCCACAACTGCATATCCAAGAAGGCTGAAGTACTGCAGATCATTGAACCAAGATTTCTCTTTCCTCACAATAATGAAATAGAGACTCAATTATTCAGCTTATCTAGGATATTCAGCTAGACAGTGGAAGAGATAAAACATAGTGGAATGTTACTTGCTAATGTCTATTGAATTTTTGTTATCCAGTTTTCTCCCCTTCATTTGCTCAAGGAAGCCTGTTTTGATGCCTGGTCCATTCAGATCAGGTAAGGCAAAGAAAGATAACATATGGGAATAATAATGTTTCCTCCACCCAACCCACTAGGCCGGCAGTTAACCATCTTCAACACCCAGGCGCAAATAGCCATTGGTGGGAAAGACAAAGGACGTCTCTTCCAAGGCCAGCTCTCTGGGCTCTATTATGATGGTTTGAAAGTACTGAACATGGCAGCTGAGAACAACCCCAATATTAAAATCAATGGAAGCGTCCGGCTGGTGGGAGAAGTCCCGTCAATCTTGGGAACAACACAGACAACCTCCATGCCACCAGAAATGTCTACCACTGTCATGGAAACTACCACTACAATGGCTACTACCACAACCCGCAAAAATCGCTCTACAGCAAGCATTCAGGTAAGCCTTTCTCCCAATTCCTAATTGATTCTGCTTTTTTGTCTTTGAGACATTACTATAAGGTCAGTGTTGCTATGTTGCTCAAGAGTCTGAATTACTATGTTTGTAGGAAGGATGCCTACAGATGCTCATCGTAGTAAGATCTTGGAGTAGAGAAAGACAAATTCACCGCTCAAGAAGTTATAAAAGTTTTGCGTGCACTCATGGGTTATTATTCCTATCATATTTATGGCTGAAACAGTAAAGCTGTTATTCAAAATGAACAATGGCTAACACTTTCAGTATGAAATACTCCTCCTTTTCATTTCATTACTTTTCTTTTCAATAGTAAAAAGGGAAAAGGGGCAGAGGAAAATTTGTTATCATAGGAGAGACTATATTGTAGTTCATTTCTATTCACAACCTCTCAGTGGCTTTGCTGAAACATGAATTGTTCCATTTTGAGGCCAATGGGCAGCATTAAAAAAGGCGCAATTGAAGCTAGAGGTTCAACTAATGCTTATAAAATGCAGTCTTTGTTTTATTATTGTTGATCAATCACTTGTTATTTTTTGTCTATTTCATTTCTTTTATATTTGACTGAGGTCCTATATTGCATTAGAAATTATGAAGGTCTGAGTTTAGCTATGTAGGAAGTCCTTAGTTTTGTGGTAATTGTTTGGTTTCTTCACTTAAAAGTAATTATACCCAAGCTAAGACTTAATGCTTTGCTGACTCCCTTGGCATTTCATAAATCTGGTTAGTAGGGGATAGGAGGTTAATCGAGTTATTAGCCTTAAATGCTGTGGCATAAAATAAGACATTCCAATTGCTTGTGGGGAAATTACTCTGAGCCTAGTTAGTGTTTATAGAAGATTCTGTAGATCAGTACTTGTCCCTTCTGTTTCTTAGTTTTAAGACATTATCCAGGGGCTCAGTTGAGTCTTTGACATCACCCTCCCATTGATTTCAGTGGGCATTGTAAACGTAAAGTCAATAATCAATTAAGACCCCTATGTGTTCTCATTATTCTGCATTAAGTTTATGGGAGCTAAGTAGAGGTAAAAATGTCTTCCTTTTCCCTTTTCTTTGAGCAGAAGTTACCCTGACAGCTCCTTACGTGATTCCATGGGAACAATTTGAGGCTGTATGCACTGATGATGTTATCAGGCCAATTTTATGTGTTTTAGAAAGGCTACTAAGAACCAGGTTAGCATAAGAGTCGTATAGTTGTATGCGCTGTTACGTGTATACCTACATACATGCTCAAAAAAGAAATAGCTTCTTCTCTACTGATTTTAAAGCAATAACTCCTGACACTTCACTCTACTCACTGAAAAGAAGATAAAAGGCAATATATATTTCTATTATGACTCTCTATAGCTCAAGAGCGGATCTGTTTATGGTTGGTAAAAGGATAGTTCTGTCTGCCCAGGTCCTGGCAGACTTGTTCTGTTTCTGTCGTAATATATTCTGCTAACTCTGTGGGAACAAATGGCTTTTTCTTCATAGGAGTGGCTGGTCCTGTAGTCTTTTTCGAGGCCAAATTTTTACTGACCTCAGGAGGATTTAATGTTACATAGGGATTCAGGGACTAAGCCATGACAATTACCGGTTTTTGGCTTTTCCTCCTGTAGCAAATATGCAAATAGACTTACCCAACACTGGATGAGTCTTTCTAAGAACTAAGAAAGCCAGAACTTCCACAAGAGAGCAGGGTACAAGGCACAAAAGTCTTGCAAGTGATTATGACTCCAGACATCGTAGAATCTGTTGTCATTTTGGAAGATGTGGATGGCTGGAGCATGCCCTCTCTAACAGCCTCCTGTTAGAGTTTCTTTCCCTGAGTCCAGTGATAACTGGATTTCATCTACATATCTTTCGCTTTGCTTCTACCATGGCTATAAAGAGAAGTTATAAATCTGTGCCATACTTGTTCTTAAGGATGTGTAAATGCAAACTCTTAGAGAAAAGACAACAGTCTAGCAGAATTGGATTAGACTGGAATGAGGGATCAAAAAGCTCCATATTCTTTGTAAAGATTAGCTAGAGGAAATTACTTTATGCCAAGGATTTTTGATTTTTTTGTCCCTGCCAACTAGCCATAAGAACTTTGCCGTGGCACATATTCTGATGAGCACTGGGTATTATATAGAAGTGAAGAATCACTAATTCTACTCCTGAAACTAATATTACACTGCATGTTAACTAACTAGGGCCTAAATAAAAACTTAAAAGTATAAATCAATCAATCAATCAATCAATCTTTGCCCTGCGCTCCATAAAATCAAAAACTTGAAAGTATATATAAATAAATAAGTAGATAGATAGATAGATTAGATAGATAGATAGATAGATAGATAGAACTTTGCCCTGAGCTCCATAAAATCTCAGCAGCCTGCCTTGTCTCTTATCCCTTTTCTGATCTCAAGTACAGATTATTTCAAGCCTGTGTTAGGACTGGGGACCCAAGATTTAGAAAAATTCTCAGGCTCTGATGACTCGGTGAGGAAGTCAGTCTCAGAAGTTCTCATTTGTTCTCTGTAATCCAGCTACCATTCTCAGGTGAAGTGGACTCATAAAAAATTTGAAAAAAGAAGTGGGGAAGGCTGGATTTCACATTTACCCAGCCAATCATGTGTGAAATCTGACAGCATTTTCCAGGTGACACTCTTTGCTTTGAAAGGTGATTCCTTTGCTTTGATGGGCTTGATAGACCAGGTTGTCCTAAAATTAGACTCTTCCAGGAGAAATAAAATAGGCATAAACACCTTGGTGTAAAACCATCTGGTTATACAACAATTCACTGGTTTCTTCTTGAAGCACAAGCTAAGGAAACATTTGGTAGTTCGTTTCTGATTGACTTTGGTTTGTGTTGATTTCAGATCAAAGGAAAACTGCAAAGTGTTTTCAGTGCTCCTCTGACCTGTGTGTGAACATAAACTAATAGTTTTTGAGTTGACATGGCCCTCCAATGCTCCAGCCTTCTTTAAGTAATCACTACTTTGATCTTTCTGATACTCCAGTTTGTTACAATACTTCTTGTGGATCACATGGACTGTGTAAATTACTCATGGCCATGGTACCCAAGCATCAGGTCTTTACCCTATATTATGAAGAGTGTGTCCAAGGGCACCTGGGTGGCTCAGTCATTTAAGCATCTGACTCTTGGTTTTAGCTCATGTCATAATCTCAGGGTCCTGCAATGGAGCCCTGTGTCATGCTCCCCTCTTAGTGGGGAGTCTGCTTCCCCTTTCTCCTCTCCTTGTGTCCCTCCCCCTCCCTGCTCATGCACACTTTCCTTCTAAAATAAATAATTCTTAAAAAAAAAAAAAAGAAGAGTGTGTCTAGGTCCTCCCCTGAATATTTAAAAAAAAATTGAGAAAACAGGTGAGTACATTGAGAAAGCAGGTGGGTGAGTGGTAGTATTCAAGTAAAAGTAGGTGCTCAATAAATATTTATTGAATAGATTAGAAAACAAAATAGGCTTTATAACATACCTTATCATCATCTAACAACTAGAAGTGGCATGGCTTACAGATGGTTTTCCCTCCAGAATGAGGGACACTTTGGACAATTTAATTTTTCTCCGGTGGTAAGCCTAGAGCAGTGATTAAATGCATATACTTGGAGTTGGGCTGCTTGCCGTTAAAACCTAGATCTTCTTCATACTAGCTGAGAGACTCTAAGGAAGTCACATATGTTCCAGCTAACTATTGTTATGAAAAAAATTTCCCCATTACTTAGTGGCTTAAAATTACAACTGTGTCATTGGATCTCACAATTCTGTGGCTCAGAACTTTGGGCAGGGCTCAGCAAGGCAATTCTTCTGCCCCACAGGGAGTTGACTAAGGTCACTCAGTGGCTGCTCTGGTCCAGAAAGTCTGGCTTCATTCACACACCTTGTGTCTTAGTGATTCAGCTGGATCCATGTACCTGTCTCTGTAGTTCCTAGTTCATGGAGGTTCAGAGCTCCTAGAGAAAGTTTTTCCAGGTTTTGAAGTTTTAGAGAAAGGAAACATAAACTTCACTTCTTCATGGGAGGATAGCAAGAATTTGTAACTAACCTAAGTCTACCAATTTGTAAAATTGGAGGGAAGGGTACTACTAGGGTACTGCTTATATCATGGGATTGCTATAAGGTTAACTGAGTTAATACATGTAAAATGCTTAAAACAGGTACATCTTGAAGAGTAGGATTAAATATGTTTTAACCTTATTATTTTATTCTATCCCCAACATTTGGTATGTGAGTCAGTATCCTCTCAAGCAAGGATCTACCTGAGAAAATGGGGTGCTTCTACTGACAGTAATATCTGTAGTGCAGAGTAGGGACTGGGAGGTTTTGGGGGGATAGAGATTTGAAGGAGGGTCAGGATTGAATTTGGAAGCTGGAATCAGTCATGGCAAATGAAAAGTTTCTAAGTTCTCAGGAATGGATTTCTCTGATAGCTCACTTCCCATCTTTAATTTTTTCTTCCATTTTTAAACCATTCTGGAGTTCTGTGGGCCTTAGAGAATATGTCCTGTTATGAAATTTATCTATCCACATGCTTTTAAGTTTGCAAAGAAAAATAATCCAGGATCTTTGCATCATGGAGCTTGATGTTAGCAATCAATAAGAGGTAGTGACCTACAAATGGTGTTGGGGGGCGGGGAATGAGGGAGTTGTATGGGATGGTTTTGGCTGGATCTCATGAATGAGGTGGGAATGGATCTGGGCCTTATAGACTGAGTATAATTGGATACATGGGGAAGAGAAATAAATCTCAGGTTGGCTAAATGTCAGAAGCGATGTTGTCAAAGTCAGGGATGGTAATTCCCGAGAGAGATGGCCAAGTCCAACTAGAACAAAGAATACATAGGGGAGATCTGTGAGAAGCAAGAGAGCCAGATTCTGAAAGGCTTGGCCCCAGACTCCCCCATTTGGGAGAAGACTCAGAGAGGAGAACTGCATTGGATGCCCTGTTTGTCTTACTCCCAGGGATTGCCAGCAATTAAGCAGGCACTTCTATTACAACTGACCTCAGTGTCGGGATTACTATCGTGATGGAAAAGCTCAATTCAGTCAATGTTCAAATTCCTTGATCCCCATTCAGGAGAGAAGGCAAAAGTGGAAAGTAAATGTCTTTGGTAACTTGCAGTCACCAGGACCAAAATGTTCCTGTGAGGTAGGAAAAGGCCAAGAGGAAAATAGTTACTAAAATAATGTGTATTCTCTTACCTTAAGCCTCCAGACCGAGTGATTATCAGTAAAGAAAGAACTCAGTGTGTTCTGAGGAAATCGCCATTTGAAATCCTTTATATGCTATTAGCAGGATACTGATCGTGACCCACTTTCTGTGCTGGGCATTGGTGAAGTCACCTTGACATTGGCTAGAGCTGCTGTTACCAGAAAATCACAATGCTCAGCTAGATTGGAATTATCCCGATAAACAGTAGAAATGAAAGACTTGAGAGTTTCGTGAGATTTCATTCTTACCTCAAACTCATAAATTTGGCAGTTGAAGGTGAATGACTTCCAAAAATTCCAGAAGCAAGCCACTTTTTCAGGCTTTGTAACTGTACCTATATGGAAATTCCTCCTTCTGGTCGGCTTTCAGTTTTAGACTGGGGCTAGTGAAAAACACTTCAGACTTGAGACTGATTATTGCAAAACAAAGAAAAACACTTGTAATTAAAAACGTGATCCATCATACAGCATAATCCACGTAGAGTTCTGGTGTGTGGAAGGGAAGAGGGTGCACTCTCGACTCAAAATTCCTGGGCTGGACTCCGGGTTTTTCCAGTTACTTAGCTGTGTATCTCTGGGGAGGTCAATTACCTTCTCTAAGCCTTGGTTTCTTTCTTTGCAAAATGAATTACTTTTCCATGGTTGTGAGTAATAAATACAACCGTGCATAAAAAGAACCTGGGCCATGACCTACCCTTAAGTTTTCACTAAATCCCAGACACTAGGAAACCACTTCAAACCAAGAGGCTCTCCTAGAACTCACAGATCCTCAAAAAGATTAGACTTCCTGTGTGACTGGATAAACATGAACCTTAAAAATAAACCTAGCCATTATTTTACTAGCAAACATGGGTTAATTTGGAAGTAACAGAATTCCAGTTTGGGAGTGAGCTACAGCAAAACCATAGGCAAGTCTAGAGAACAAAGGAGAGGACATCTCTTTTATAGAGGAAAGGATGGAGTTGGGAAGGGTGTTATAAACAGTAGGTGTGTTGAAGTAAACTGGGAGTTCAAAGTGTGGTGGCTTTTCATTGGCTGAGTTGTGGCAGTCTCTCCTTGACTGGGCTGTTTGTTGCCAGGGGGAGGAGAAAGCCTTTCTTCCTCCTGCTGGAAAAGTAAAGTAGTAGTTATTGTCATAGAGACTGACAAGGACCCTTTCTTCCTCTTGGCTCTGCAGTTGACAAAGAGTAACAGGGCATTGCTTCCCTTTTCCATTTTAAACAAAGTCTCCCTCTTTAATTTTCCCAAATACACGAAGAACCATTTTGTCTACACCCGCACAGCCCTGTGATCACCCAGGATTTCCTGTGAGGGTCCCAGACTGAACCAGAGGCCTGAATTCATCAATTAGAAGAGATTTCTGTGGGAAACTTTCTCATTTTCTGAAGTGGGATTTGGCTTTGCTGAATGGTTATTACATACAAAGCGTTCTATTAGGGTCAACTGTATGAAATTGCAATTTTTATAGATTGAAATGGTCAAATAGCAGGAATGTCATATTGTTTCAACAAAACTCATGACCCACACATTTACAGCACTTTGTTATCGGTGGCTTTTTGGGACTGGCTAGAGTACCACATTTTCTCAAGGTTCTTTGAATAATCAAACTGTCTTGGATTGGGATATAAGACAAATCTATCTACCTCATCCCCAAAACCATGCTTTAACAGGAGGTCGATCATGTTGTATCAAGAATGTTTGTACTTAAGGAATTAACCCCTCTGGGCCCCCTCCACATTTTCCTTGCTGCCACCAGCTTGACAGAAGTGAGACAAGGAGTCCACACAGTTTCCAAGCCCTCACTTTTACCACTAGACAACAGAGCCTCTAGGGGAAGTTTATTTTTAGGATCAGGGCTCAACTAATATTGATTAACAGCCTTACATAATGTGCGGCTCCAGGGCTGGCTCCTTTCCTGCCAAGCCTCATAACTGGGGAAGGCACTGAAGATTTGTCAGTCTAATTAGACTTTAGCTGCCAGCCAAGAAATATCTTCTGTCTCCTCCTAACTCTCATACAGGTACTTTTTTTTCCCCCTCTCAGAGAATAATTTTGCGGGGGGGAGGAAATTGGACTCTAATTTTCTCGTTAGCTAGTAAAACTCCAGTGACATTTTCTCTCAGGAATTACATTGTTTTCATGGGAACAAAAAAGAGAGAGAGAGGGAGAGCTTGATGAGTTCACCTACCTCCTAAAGAGCTCTATGTTAGTAGTGCAAATAGGCCAGGGAAGAGAATATAGTGTCATTTGTTTTGGTCCCCTCTTTAATACTTTTAGTGGATGGGATCAGAACTTCCCAAAGCTGAGATTAGTCCCTTAAAGGTTTCTGAGAAGGTCCTCATCTGCAAATGAAGATTAAGTCTGCAAATTGCTACAAGTTGTAGAGATGCCCCTCTAATTAGATTAGATTATAATATTTATAGGATGAGGGTCCACAAGAACTACTGATAAAATGCTGGCACTTATTTTGAGCCATCCGAACAGCTGGGGGAAAAGTAGGGTTCAGCTCTTGACTACTCACTGTGGAGGTCCCCAATGTTTCTAGTGCTCCAGGTGGTTTTACCAGTCACCTGACCTACTACTTGGCCAAGTCTGAAGCCAAAATCCTTACTCTGTGATGTGTGGATCTCCTCATTGATCTTTGAGGAAGATCTAGAAGACCTGTGTAGCTGGAGGAGTGTGACAGAAAATATGGTCTTCTCCCTGATAAAGGTCTTCTCCTAGATAAAGGAGAGACGAGTAAGTGTTGTACAGTTGCAGAATTGGATCCTGTCTCTATTTAAAATGTTACTTTCCTCATCCTGGAAATTTTTTTTGCATTGATATTGACTCTAAAATATTGCAATAAAATATTGTGTATGTTGAATAAATGATTTGGGGGAGCACTCCCTTAAATGTTACACCTTAGACGAGTGCCTGATTAGTGCCAGCCCTACTTCAGCATACCAAGCCTATCTGTGTCTTTTCACCGGCCGTTTTCTCTGCCTGGAGCAGTTCTTCCCAGCCATTTGCAAGACTCACTCCCTTCCATTATCTAAGTTTCCGCTCATGTGGCCCCTTATAGAGAAGCCCTCCTTGACCATCCTATAAAGTAACACTCTCTAGCACCCTCTACCTTGTTGTCTGCCTTGGTAGCTAGCTTTACCTTACATGGTATTACATATTTATCTGTTTATTGCCTCTCCTTGGTGGTATGTGAGTTCCTTGGTGGGGAGATCTTTGTCTCAGATAGTATCAGAGCTCCGAAGCACAGAGTAAACCCTCAGTCGGTAGTGGTCAAAACACACCGATCTACTGGTACCTTCTCTAGGAGTACACACACTTCTTAACACTTACAGGCTGGATCTTACTACCAAGCACGTTGTACCCCACAGACCAGTGATGAAGCTCACCAGTGGTGATGGTCATTAATAGGGGTTTTGCTTCTCTTTTTTGTCTGAAGAACAGAGTCCCAGGGACACCTGG